ATCTAGCAGAGATTTACATGTACACCACAGGTTTCTGCCAACTCACGAACAGGAAGAAGTATGCTTCTAAACGTGCCCGACTTAAGAATTCTTTTACCGAACTCGAGTAGAAGTGTCTCCCTGCTGCTCAAGAGAGAAGGCAGACCTGATATACTAAGAGCGGTTTCATAATTATGTTATGTAGTTAACACCATAGATGATGGGAAGAGCTCTCTTTGAACTCTCACTATTGACAGTTGGTTACACATAATTAGACTGTGCCACACAGGGCAAGCATATTATTTTCGCATCAGCTGAGTTTATCTCCGTTAACCTTAGTATTGCAAATCCGATTGGAGAGAAAGCTACAGACATGGGAATAATGGATTGCCTCACTCGTACGGCAATTAATTTCATTATTACAACATTGTGATCAACACGATCAAATGTCTTTATAAAGTCCACTGCACATAGGTCAATAAATTTTTCTTCACCTTCCAAGTGAGATACGATAGCATTGATCAGGTCTACAAGAGTGTGAGGTCGACGATTCCTTGCGACTCTTTGTTGTCTACATTTAATAAGATTAGCCACCCATTCTGCCAGAAAACGTGGGTCGTCAAATCTTGCGACGATTCAGAACATTTGGGGACAGGTATTATAGTGGCCTTTTTCCATGGTGCAGGAAATGTACACTTATTCAATACAGAGTAGAAAATGTCCGCTGATGGGTATGAAAGTTCAAAAGAGAACTCCTTGATTAGTCTAATAAAGAGATCCTGAGGATGCTCCGCCTTGCGCACATTTAACTTATCAATTACAATCTTAACCCGTCCTTGATAAATACGAGGAGGAGGCTCAGATGCAGAGTAACAGAGAGGTTTGCCATATTATGTGGGTGAATCTTGGCAAAATGTTCATTTATTAATTCAACAGTCGCTTGTGATGAAAGGCCTGAAATGCAAAAATGTATCCCTCTACTTGAAATTGCGAAGATTCGCAATTCCACTATGCCATTTTTAAGCATTTCAGGGAGGTTGCATAAAATTGCTCCTTCGTGAGTGTGATCGCTCTTAGTACAGAATTGCGTATTTTCTTCCATTATTGTGTATGGCTTATAGAAAAAGCAACCTGTCATTTCACTATTAACCTCTTTATCTTAGGCGTCATCCAAGGTTTATCCGCTTTCCTTCCAACTTAGCGGTAAACTCTTGTTGTGTTTTCATTAGTTGACTCGCTGTTAAAAACATGCCATTCATGCGAGGTAATCTAACTGCCAAACAACCCAACGGATGAATGGCAATATGGTTGGGACGAGGCATAAATATACCTAGAGAAGTAGATAATGTTTTGGATCGGTTTTATTAGGATACAACAATGATCAGAACGCCCAAGTGGAGACATAGTGGCATCATAGAGTATATTCTATACTGATAGTTACAAAGCAAATTATGATTATGGAACCTCTAGATGCCTGGAAATGGCACTCATTCAGACTTAAAATCTGAATATTTTGTCTCCATTATTTTGAAAATTTTGACAAATGTAAGATGTATCCTGGCCGGCTTGGCACCCCATCCCCACTGGATTAATATGATATTATGTCCTACATTCGATGTCAAAGACACATTATGCTGTTATGTAGGGATCAATAAAGCCGCTGCCCTTTTAGATCTGGGTGCTATAGAGCGAGGATCGTATTGGCAGGGGCACCACAGGAGCCCCTAAGTGTCGGTGGCCTTGCGGACCGCCACACGAGAACGCATACACGTTACGCCACTGAGCATGGATAGCAATTCTAGCTGGGCGCAGGGCTCAGAGCCGTAGATAGAGAGAGTTTGTCCAACTTAGCGCATGGACGCCAGGTCGTTACAAACAGCCCAGGCGCATGCGCGCGTATAGCTTTAATGTTTTGTTTTGGTGACAACATGGCCGGTGTAAGTCATGTGATTGCGATCCACCCGATCACACGCGCGTATATCGAATCCAGTGAAACCGAGTTGGCCAAACTTTCTCTATCTACGGCTCTGGCAGGGTTCCCAGAATACCGCCATCAGCGGCTTGTGCGAAGCACAACTCAGAGCAAATTTCGATATGGTTTCGTAGTCAGATTTGCGAGAAAAACTTTAGCTACCCGTATTTCTCGACTGAGACGTCAGTGGGAGCTGTAATTTGTATGGCAAGGAGATTCTGCTACCTTAATTCGTATTAAGGGGATTTACGCCCACAAACCTTGTAGTTATTAATATTTTGGTTATAATAGAAAATTTTTATTTTTTGGTGACGTCACTCACAATAAGTTAGCATTCATATGTCATAAGCTAGATTACGTCCCCTTTTCCTGGTAAGGCAAACTTTCCCGGCGTGCTTTTTTGATTGATAAACAGACACCACTGCTTTGCACATGGATGCCTTGCCTAGCTAGGTCTACAAGAGCCGCATTATATAATACTTAAACAAGGTATGTCTGCAACTGAATTATTCTTAGTTATTTTTTTTTCTTATTTTAATTTATTTCTTTCGAAAGTTTACTTTCTATGACATGTAATTGCACTGTCTACTTGGCTTAGGCCTAGTATTATTATGCCTTATCGTCCCCCGCTACACAGTACACCAGTAGGCTATCCCCCCCCCCACCACGCTACAGTACAGACGTTTGCTAGGCAACAGAACGTGATTGCACATTCCTTCCCAGGTGTTCATGTAACATTTGCATATTGTAAGCTAACCAGTTGTGTGTATTCCTTTTTGAAAATGAGTACCGCGGCGTACTCATTTTCACAAAGCATTTGCATCCCCTCTTTGAAAGAGGGAACTTCGAAATATTGTCTCCATATCTTCGCTAATTAATCACCGTAATTTAGCTTACACTTATGCATGGAGCGAGGACTTAAAATGTACAATAATCAATAAACAATTAGTGAGAGGTAAAATAATCGAGCTCTTTCGGCCACTGCTGGCTTCACCACTGATCTCATGGGTACACTTCCTTTTATTACCTCTTTCCTCCATTTAACTCTTCTCAATTTGTTTTTCTCCATCTTTTTTTTATTTTTTCGGCGGGACTGGGGGAGAGGTGGGGCACACGGGCCCTGTGGCACCCCGCTGTATCCACCCCTGAGGTTGTTGATCCCCCATCATTCTGAACAATTCTACCAAAAATTCTGAAAGTCCAGACCATCCAATAACTTGAAGGAAGAACTTCTTCAGGTAACTCCATTTTTATTTTCCGCATCTTTTTATACGCAGAATAAAAATCAATTATGTACTTAGCTATTTCCTAATTGGAAGTTCTCTTGACACTATCAAAATTTGTGTACGATTCATAAGTACACTCATTCAACTCTTTCAAAAATAGTGTCTAATTTATCGAGTAATATTTTCAAGCCAGTATCTACATGTGAATCATCTGCCAACTGTAAGCCTACATCTTTTGCTTTACCTTCTAGTGTTACGCATACCGCTATCCTGTTTGGCTTTTGCCAGACACGTGATATTTGCGCAACTTTCGATTTCGCCTGCTTCCAGGTGTGATAATCACTATGGAAGCTTGGTGGTTTGACCAATCAGTCTGCCATAATTACCAACCTCGCTCTGCTACCACGAAACAGCCGAATATAAAATACGATGACAAGTTTAATTTTATTTCATGTGCCTCTATCGACCTTCCCGTCATACCTCAAGTCGTACTTAACCTGACATAGTTAACACACCAATCCAAACTGGCTTTCAGCAAACTAAATTTCGGCAAAGTGGACTGGGCAATCTTGCATTCTGCAAATTGGTTTTCGGCAATCTCGCCTAGATCTACATAATCTATTGACTGATATCACAAGTTGATGACGTGTTATAATGGTCCTTAACAAAACATAATGATAGATTTATCCACGATAGTACTGTAAGCGGTATTATTGATAAAACTCCTATCACTGAACAAATATGCAGCAAATGAACAAAGGGGAAAAGCTGGTTGGAAGTACGGAGGTCGATGTCTGGAAGCGGCTAAATATCACAGAAAAACTGATTATGTGACATTTATATAAATTTAACTTTAGTTTAGTTTTGTTTTTGTTTTTTTGTACTGTTATGAATTTGGTAGCTTAATCTACAGTGGTATTTTGAAAATGGTTTTTTCGTCTACATAGGCTACTTCTAAGATTTGCAAAACACGCAAATGAACCAAACTACCTCTATGATTGAGTTTTGAAACCTCTATACCGACCATTTTCCTGGTAAAGATTAGCGTTATTAGTGCCTCTTCCGATATGGCTGCCAACAATAACACATTTTATAAGAACACCCCGAGGCTGAAATTGCTTTAAAAAATCTTTTCCGTTTTCTAAAATCTAAAGGGCTTTTAAAACTGTATAAATCTATTGTGAGGCCTATTTTAGAGTTTGCAATGTTGTATCCCCAAGTTTCAAGAAAACCGGGTATAATAATAATAATCTTTATTTGAAACTTCACTTTTAAAACAGTGGCACACGATGACAGTGCGTTCACAAGAGTATGTTTCCAGAATATCATCATCTTCCATATAAGGAACGATTGAAAGCACTTAAGTTCTAACACTGTAACACTGACGTATCGAAGACTGCAGCGTTCAGACTTACTGCAAGTGTTTAGAATTGTTCGCGGTCTTTATAGCTAAAGATTAATTATTTAATTTCAATACGGATAGTGTCACTAGAGGCCATTCATATAAATTAAAGCAATATTACTCTAGAATTAATCTGAGGAAGGGACATTCTCAAGGCGTATTATTAAAAATTGGAACCCATTGTTAGAGAAGGATGTAAATGCTACATCCTTAAATATGTTTAAATCTGCGATTGACAAGCGTTGGACTGACCACCTGTTAAAATTTACTAAATAGTGCAGCTTGCTCATTGAGGGGCTTATAAGCATTGTATGCTTGGCTTCTATACCCAGGATTACAGAAGTTACTGCGTTCCTTGGAATCAAGTTAGTGAAGGAAAAGAGGTATTAAAATTAAAGCAATAAAATGTCATAATAAATGGTTCAGATATATTTTACAGTATATTATATATTTTGTTATATATCTTCAAACACAATGCAGACAAATTTAACAGTATAAGTAATAAGCACATTGGTTGGAAGTACGGAGATTGATGGTCGACGACTACAGGGAAACTGATTACGTGACTTTTTTTTTAAACATACAGACAAATGTTCATCTTTCTTTATTTTTCGAAGAGCGATGATATAAGAATAACACATATGTACTTGGAATTAACGCAAAGGTTTGTACAACTGTGCTTGTCTGGAAACAAAATAGCAAATCCATGTCACTGTTGAAAAATCCTGAAAAAGAATAGAAAATATATATTAATAATACTAATGAGAGCGACAATGATTCAATTCTGAAAGTTTTTGTGAACTCCTGGTTGTTAACATTTAATAGTCAATAAGCGCCGTAAGCTTAATCTTTTTTTTTTTTGAGAATGTGTGCTATACAAATGTTCACGTTACTGTTATTATCTCCGCCAGGAGTTATATGGATTTAATCGTGTATGTACGTGTGTGTAACGTTTTGGTGTTCCCGTGTGGTTTTCTTGTGTTAGGAGTGTTAGTTATAACCAAATGAAGAAATTATTAAATTTTGGGGACGGTCCGTAGTAGGGTGTGGATGTGAGTACCATTTAAACAGATGTTAGAGCAATACGTCCTTGACACGATATCTCAAATACTAATTAACTGATATGAATGAAGAAAATGAAGAAATTATTAAATTTTTGGGGACGGTCCGTAGTAGAGTGTGGATGTGAGGACTATATAAACAGATTTTAGAGCAAACGTCCAAATACTAATTAAGTAATATGAATGAAACTTTCGTGAAAGGTTAAACAGGTGACAAGGAAGAAATTATCAAGCGCTGGTCACGATTCAAATTCAGGTAGTGAACTGGAGGGTCATTTAAATGTTTAAGGTAGCGGGCGTTTTTAGTGTTCTAAATATCTCAAAAACAGCTGCACAGGTCCTAAATTGAAGTTACAGGGATTGTTAGGTATTACCCAAGGATGAGGTGATTACATTTTGGTGACGAACCGGATTAGGGTGTGGATATGAGGACCATTTAAATGAAAATGTCCTAGACATGACTAATCAACTGATATGAATGAAACTTTCGTGAAAGTTTAACCAAGGTACAAGGAAGACATTACGATGTAATGATGACGATCCAAATTTGAATGTGCATTTGAAGACCAAAAAGTCCCAGTCCAGAATTTCTCGAAAATAAATCCATGGATGAAAATAACAATTGGCAGAATAGTTTGAAATGTTTTAATAAATAAGTGTTTAAATTTTGGTCACGATTCGAAGTAGGGTGTGGATATGAGGACCATTTAAAGAATAAGTTTACAGTATACCGTAGGCAGATAACAATAGCAGTGTGATGAATACTAAAATTAGTGCAATTACAGTAAAGTGTACAGCGTTTTATATGTACTAATTTTACTTTTTGGGAACTGATTGGAAATATTTTTAATGCAACTTTATATTTAAACATATATATATATATATGAACCATTGACTATTTGCATAATATTTATATTTCAACACCAATACCTGGCATGTATTTATTTTGTCAACTATAAAAGAAAAATGTTCATGCTTGATTTGTGATTAACAAGAAGAAGTAAGGAATTGGCCGGTATACAACTAATACAATAAAAGGCGTTGCTGGTTAGTGTAGGCCTACGTTTTTTAAGTATGGTGTGGCAGGAAAGTAAGTGGGTTATCACATTTTTTTTACAAACCCTATTTGAAAATAAAATGTTTCAATACTATATGTTTCTGTGTTAACGTAACATGTATAGTGAAAAGTAGGCCGACATTTAATTTTGGTGAAATTCGGATGACAAAATCTGAAAAAGGGATTTATTTTATGTTAAGGGATTTGCGGTGAACGGAGATATGCTCTCTACTGAGTGCTCTTGAGTGCTCTTGTTACTATTATCATCATCATCATCATCATTATTATAGTTATTATTGGCTTTTTCCAGCAGTTAAAAAAAGCCATTTTGTTGTGATTTTTTTTTTCTTGCATATATATTTCCTATCATTTTGTACTGTTTTTTTTTTCTTGCCGTCACTTTGTTCACTTCCAAAGCATAGAATTTTTCCGTGCTTTGCCGAAGCATAGACTATATATTAAGGAAGTGCCTTTTAATATTTAATGTCAATCTATGGTGGGGTGTGCGTGTGAGGACCAATTAAAGTGATTTAAGTCAAACAGTCTACACCGGATATTTAAAAAACCAGTCAGCTGATCTGAATGAAACTTACGGGGGAAAGTTAACTCAAGTTACAAGGAAGGCATTTTTATGTGTTAATGACGATTCAGTGAAGGGTGTACATTTGAGGGTCTTTTCAATTTTTGAGGACCCAGACCTAAATATCTCTTTAAAAAAACCAATGGGTCTAAATGAAACATTCTATAACACTTTGTAAAAGTCTTGTAAAAAAACTGATTAAACCTTTGTGACGATCCATAGTATGGTGTGGATCTGAGGACCACTTAATGGAAAACGTCCCAGACCACATTCGAAAACGGATCAACTGATCTGACATTCGGAAAAAGTTTAACCAAGTTACAAGGAAGAAATTATTATGTGCTGGCGACGAATCAGTCAAGGGCGTAAATTGGAGGGTCATTTCAATTTTTGAGGACATAGACCTAAATATCGAAAGTTCCACTGATTAATCTCGGATAAGATAGTATAATACATAGCCTACTCCAAGTATCGAAATGCACGCCATCGTGTCGGGATTCAATATTTTGACATTAATTACGTCATCATCAGGAATAATACGGTATGTCGTCATCATTCCTGATGATGACATAATTAATGTCGACATACTGAGACCTAAATATCTCTTTAAAAAAAATCAATGGGTATAATTTAAACCTTGTATAACAGTTTGTCAAAGTCGAGTAAAGAAATGATTACATTTTTGTGACGATCCGGAGTAGGGTGTAGATCTGAGGACCATTGAAAGGAAAACGTCCCAGACCACATATTTCGAAAACGGATCAACTGCTCTGAATGAAACATTCAGAAAAAATTTAACCAAGTTACAAGGAAGATAGTATTATGTGTTGGCGACGAATCAAATTGGAGGGTCATTTATATTTTTGAGATCCAGACGTAAATATCTATAATAAATTTTCAATGGGTGTAAATGTAACTTTCTATAATAGTTTGTAAAGTTCCAGTAAAGAAATAACTGGGTTTATTTGTGATGATCCGGCGTAGGGTGTGAATATGAGGACCATTTAAAGGAAAACGTCCCAGACCAGATATTTTTAAAACGGGTCAACTGATCCGAATAAAACTTTCGGGAACGTTTAACCCTGTCTCTTATACACATCTGATGAAAACTGTAATACAAATGGTAGTTTAAAGATCATGATTAGACCATTGCCTCCCGCAGGGTCCAGCAGCGTACCAAATTTGCCAATATCAAATTGACATTAAACGCTCACAACTAAAAAATTCACAACAATAGTTTACTGTAAATATATTGTTGCTTATCAAATTGTGTAATGTTAATTTTTTTTTAAGTGGTTTTATTTGTTTTTTACTTGTATATGTTGATATTGACCAAAAAATTAAAATAAAAAATGAATGAATGAATGAATTATTGTTATTATAGTCATTATATTTTTAATTAGACCTATCATGTATCCACGTTTGACGATTATGTGATGATGGCTAATTGTATGAC